CCTTCCGCGCGGCCGCTTTTCCCATGCGCGCTGCGCCCCGCGCCGCCGCCGCCCTCTCGCCGCCGCCTGCCCCTCGGAGCCGCCGCCTGAGTCGGGGACGAGATAATGACCGAGGCGCTGTGGCCGGCTGTCCCCAACGGGACGGACGCCGCCTTCCTGGGCGGCCCGGGCTCGCCCTGGGGCAACAGCACGGTGGCCTCCACCGCCGCCGTCGCCGCCGCCTCATTCAGATGCTCGCTGACCAAGACGGGCTTCCAGTTCTACTACCTGCCGGCTGTCTACATCTTGGTGTTCATCATCGGCTTCCTGGGCAACAGCGTGGCCATCTGGATGTTCGTCTTCCACATGAAGCCGTGGAGCGGCATCTCCGTGTACATGTTCAACTTGGCCCTGGCCGACTTCCTGTACGTGCTGACTCTGCCCGCGCTCATCTTCTACTACTTCAATAAGACCGACTGGATCTTCGGGGATGCCATGTGCAAGCTGCAGAGGTTCATCTTCCACGTGAACCTCTACGGCAGCATCCTGTTCCTCACCTGCATCAGCGCGCACCGGTACAGCGGCGTGGTGTACCCGCTCAAGTCCTTGGGCCGGCTCCAGAAGAAGAACGCCGTGTACGTCAGCGTGCTCGTGTGGCTCCTCGTGGTGGGGGTCATCTCCCCCATCCTCTTCTACTCGGGCACCGGGGTCCGGAAGAACAGAACCACCACCTGCTACGACACCACCGCAGACGAGCACCTGCGCAGTTACTTCATCTACAGCATGTGCGCGACGGTGGCCATGTTCTGCGTCCCCTTGGTGCTGATTCTGGGCTGTTACGGGTTGATTGTGAGAGCCCTGATTTACAAAGACCTGGACAACTCGCCTCTGAGGAGAAAGTCAATCTACCTGGTGGTTATTGTCCTGACTGTCTTTGCTGTGTCTTACATCCCTTTCCATGTGATGAAAACGATGAATTTGAGGGCCCGGCTGGATTTTCAGACCCCAGAAATGTGTGATTTCAATGACAGGGTGTATGCCACCTATCAGGTGACGAGAGGCCTAGCAAGTCTCAACAGTTGTGTGGACCCCATCCTCTACTTCTTGGCAGGAGATACTTTCAGAAGGAGACTCTCCCGAGCCACCAGGAAAGCTTCCAGACGAAGTGAAGCAAATTTGCAATCCAAGAGTGAAGACATGACCCTCAATATTTTACCCGAGTTCAAGCAGAATGGAGATACAAGCTTGTGAGGACGCAAGGATCCCCAAATACCCACTTTGTAACATGGTAGGATGCTTCATAGAGCCAAGTGCTTTTTTCCCCTTTAAGTTTCTAGTAAGTTTAGAGAAAATTCAAACCAAGAAAGTAGTGAGTTAAAGAAAAAAATAGAAGTGGAAATGCCCACGCCCACGCTTAGCTTGTTTGGGTTTGCTTTCAAGGCCTCCCTTCTTTCTAACCATAAGTATGTATAATAAAATAATACTGTCCTGGTTAAACATTTACTTCTCTTCTGCCTTTAAAATCTACATGCTTTTCTGGTTAAAGTGCACTTGAGTACTGGAGCTGTTTTGATATTAATAATTTCTTCAAGAAAACTGACAACCTGAAACTTCAGTTTGTGATTCTTCTAGTCCTTATTGTTTTAATTATCCATGGTAGGAATAAATTGAAAGTCCACATTTTCACAGTTAGCGTAGTATAGCAAAATACTAAACTCGGTTCGTTCAGTGTCAGATGGACAAATCTCGGCTGTGTCCTTTTTGATCCTGTAAGCATAGGTGGTAGCTGGCTGAGTTTCTTGAGAGAATTGAATAGAAAAGTAAAATCAATGAATTTAAAAGCCTAAAATGTGATTATTGCCCAGTTATTTATAGAAAACTGCTCACTATATGTTGGGTGCTAAATGTTTGATGATGGAAACCTGCATGTGTTATCTTACAAGTAAAATGAGTTCAGAATAATCAAACTGCGTGTACTTTCCTGGTAAACACCACGAGCTCTGTTAGACTTCTTGTGATAAGGATCGTTTGCCGGCCCCACTGCTGTGCGATGCCTTAGGAGTTTGTGTTCCAGTACAAATGCTCACTCACATCTGTAAAAACAATGTAAAAATCTCAGATAAACTACAGACCAAAGCTGAGTAACTGTTAGCACGTTAAGGGATGTCGGGCAGGAGGATAGTGTTCTGTTAGAGAAGCGAGGTGGACGGTCCCCCCCACAGGGCCTGCAAACATGTTCTCAATTGTGTGAGGCAAGGGGGAGTGGGGAGAAGGCATCGTTAGAATAAGGGCTTTAGTGTAAATTACTGTCATGCTGTAAAGACTCTTTTTTGCTCTTTTGAAATGCTGGGAAGCATTGAATGCAATTTGAAAAGAAGAAGGCAGAATTTTTATAGGTTGTGTTGATAGAATGGGAAACTATAATCCTTTGCTGGATCTTGCATCCTCATATTTAAAGAAAAAAACTCCAAATATATGGGAAAGGGAAATATGAAGAATGAAATTTAAGTAGCTAAGGTACCACAGCACTGAAAGATAAGTTGTAGAAACTATTGGTCACACTACTGATGGTTTAAGAGAAGACTCTTGGCCAGTGTTTTCTTTTGTATTTTTTCTCTGCCATGCAGTAATGAGAAATCTGTAAAACATTTCAATAACTTTAATAACAGTTTTCAATGAGTATTGAATTGCTGCATTTTTAACCTTTGAAATCTTTAAATTCTATATAATGTAGAATAATGAGGTGAGTTAACACAGTTTATAACTCCAAACAAATAAATCCAGTGTCAAAGGAATTTTTAGTGGTGAAAACCAGCCCCAATAAAGCCAACAGCAGAGTCTGCATTTGATGGTGGAGTGACTTGTTTGAAAGCACTGTATAAGTAAAGCAATTTGGGGCTGTGTCTTAAGGCAAGAACCTTAGTGCCCTGTGGGACGTGGTGACAGGAAAGTCAGGGCTTATTTCAGTTCTTGCAATGCCTGGGAGGACTGAGGATTTGTGAGACCTGTTTCTCTTCAAGTTGCTCAGTTTATCCAGTCTCAGGCCACCAAGACCAATGAAGAAAGTCTGTGTTTAGCTTGCTCAGAAGTCATTCTTTTTCACATGTTGAGTGTTGATGCACAGAATTGTAGAAACCAAATCCAGAGGAAACCTTTTAGATGTCTGACCTACACCTCCTCATTTTGAGGAAAGACAAAGTTAGCTAGGTCGTCACTTGGTTAGGGTCCTACAGCATTGTCTGCTGTGAAATCCTAGAAGAAAAAGTCTAAAGTCTGTCATTACTGTGTTGTCCCTGTCAAACTTCCTGTTCAGTGAGACAAGATTAATATCGCTAAATTGACCAAAATGGAAATTTCAAAGCCTGTACCACCCTTGACTCAAAGGCTAATGGCACACGTTTGTATCATATTTCTTCACCATTTATTTTAGTCTTCTTGCTTTTAGGTCTCAGATGCCCAGCCTGGTTTACAGTATGTGTTAAGTACATTGTTTCAGCCTCCAGAGAACTTTCTTTTGGAGTGTGGACCCATGAGGAGGTGGACAGTCACTAGAAATGCCCTTTTACTCCTTGGCATGATTTTTCCAGAGTGTTTCTTCTTTAGCTTCATACATCACGTAGTGGACAATGACTTGTGAATGCATGCCAAATAGTGACAAGAATGATCTTGCCACCTCCTTCCAGGTGAAAAGAGGTCTCTGGGAAGAGTCTGTGCGAACGGTGAAAGCATGCAGAGGGTCAAGATGAAGCAGTGATCTATTGGCTGGAAATCTGATTCATGACATATGATGATATGAGGAGGTATTTTAATACTAAAGGTAGAAATCTGTTGGCATTTTGATGAAAGAACTGCTAAAGTTATAGAACTTACCAGTTAACTAAATTTCACACTACAAAACTATTTTAATGCCAAGTTCAAGGTGTTTTGTGGCTCACAAATTGGCATCTTTGACTCTTTGAACATCAGTGTGTATTTGCATTGAAACGATAAAAAGACAAACTAAGAAGAGATCCAGCATGAGAATAGGATTCGGAGGTTAACACCTTGACATCGCCACTTGTCCAGCTGTGGAACTCTTGACCCTTTCAAGACATCCATCTGTTGGGGACCTAGGGGACATGGTAAAGCGTTAAAACCACAGCCGGCCAGAGGTACGTGCAGTCTGCTCCTGTGTGCCAGTCCTGGCTAAAAATGCCTACACAGTTCACCAGCTGTGATGTGGACCCGTGACCTATACGTTTTCTCAGTCTGCTCAGGCGGTGCACTAACCTGCCTCTGATACAAGAGATGTCAGTGCTTGTAGCAGCTGGAATTGGACTGGTGACAAGAAGATGTGTAACTAGTTAGAGATATAGGGAAGCTTTAACTTTGCTCATCAAATTGTAACTATCATAATAATATTTATTGTTGAAGCTCACAGTCCTTCAGTTGTACAGATTGACACTTTCTTGAAAGATCCAACATACAGATGTAAATTATATTTATTGCAATGTACAATATTAATATGTCACACTGGTATATTTTACATAATATATGATGCATAGATAAAATGAGAGTTGTATTTTATGATGCTTTTCAAATAGTACCTTGAAATGTTTAAGTCTTCAGATTTTTTTTTAGTCTAAAATATGAAAATCTGTTTTGTGATACAAGTGATTAATTTTCTCTATAAATGCTTCTGCATGTTTACTTTTTTATTTAGGGTTCTTCCTATATAGACACAATTTGGTGTCAAACTATCATAATATCAATAGTAAATACAAAATATCTTAGCCAGACTGGGTCTGTATTGTCTACATTTTATATGATATTATAGAAAAGTTTGTATTATCTTTTCAGGACATTTAGAATTGTGCCCCCAAATATAGTCAGAGCTTCCATTTCCAAATGCAAAAACCTTGTCCTAAATTCAAAGTAGATCTCTTATGTTTGAGAAGTCTGGTGGGATGGGCATTATAGATACGACATTAGAATTTAAGGGAAATCTTTAGGGAGATGGGAAGAGAGGCAGCTGGTTTCGTCAGTTACTGTGCTCAGTTCTGCTTAGATTTCTGTGTTGTGTTTCTTCTTGAGGTGAAATAGTATAATCTTAATTTCTTTGAGATGGAGTTTCTAAGTAACACACTACCAGCAAGTTCAACACTGCTGTTAATTTTAATCTGTTTTCTTTGCTCAGTTGATAGCTTTAATTCTCAGTTTTATAGTGATAACTGTATATTATTTGGCTGCTGAATTCTGTTACAATTTTTTATTCTGTTGTACATTGTATTATACATATTAAAATTAATATGAAGGGGAATATATGTTACATATAAAAATTTGTGAATTTGAATTCTAGTATGTTTTAGTGCTTTTGCAAAAATTTTTATTTTTATATTATCTGTGATTTTAATATAGATAATTGAACTAGAGTTCATTGTGATTGATAGTGCCATTGAATGAGCAGTATGGAAACAGCGTTACTTGACATTTCGAGCTTTCTCAGGTTTGTCTAAACAGTAGCTTAACAAATTCTGGACTAGTTGTGTGTAATTGTGTTTTAAATAAAAGGAATGCACATTTCTTATAAGTTTGCATGCCTGAGTGTACAGTATCACGCGTGTGCGTGCATATGTGTGTGTGTGTGTCTAAGGCATGGCAGCCAACTTTATATCTGCTACTTATAGCTGCTTATAATAACAGCAGAGCTTTGATGTAATCTTGGTCACTAGAACTGTACCTACCATAGACAAGTAAAACTGAAAAAGTCTCAATAAACTATGAAATGTGGTCTAATGGCTTCTGAGTGTTATAGTATCAATACTTATGAGTTTCCCCAAATTTTGAGGCATACTATTATACTGGAGGGCAGATATTGTAGGAGGTATTGAAGTAACCCAGGCATTTCTTAAGGTGCAGCCTGGACTGTAAGAAGTGAAGTGTTTAAGAGAGAACCTGGTACAATTGATAAAATTATCATTGTTTGATATTTAATCATTGGTAGGAATAGGACCTAATTATTTGAGGAAATTGTGGAATTCAGCCTTAATACATATTTCTCATACTAGTGTTCTGTCTTTAAAATGTTAACTGTAATCTTTTCTAATTAATCCATGCAAGTAATTGTACTAATAATCCTGTGTTTTTTTTTTTTTTTTTACCTATTAGCCTGCATAGCCTGCTTCTCTCGTTTATTAAAAATATGTATCTGGTGCTGTGCAGTGAAAAAATGTATGCAGAATGGGAGCATGCTTAAAGCATCGCCATTTTGTCCTCAGTGGAGAAGATAAGCACACAGTGGTCCTGGGCTGGGTTTTCTGGTTGTCTGCAGACGCAGGGGCCCTGTCACAGAATCCTGTGGGTCGAAAAATGCACATCTCTCGCAGCCCTTAGGATACGGTCACTCAGGTTTAACTCCTTAAGCAGCTGTGTTCTCTAGACTTTGCGCCCTGATAACCCTCGCTGGCTCTCATCAGCTTTGGTAGAGTTGTGTGGGTGCGGGAGTGTGTATTTTTATTTAGTGTATTCAGAGAGATTATGCAGATAACTATCTTTCTGATTTCAGGAGAACTTACTGTAAAGCTTTGAGCACCTTCTGAGTTTCAAAATCACTTTGGGATTAGAGTCAGAGAAGCTTCTCTCTGCACAAGTAAATACACTGCATTTAAATTCTCTTTTATACTCTGTTTTCAGGAGGTTTAGAATTTTGCCCCGAAATATAATCAAAATTTCCGTTTCCAAATGCAAAAAGCTTGTCCTAAATTCAAAGTATATCTGTTATGGTTTAGCAGTCTGCCGGATGGGGCATTGAAGACACAGTAGATGTCACTAGAAATCCATGTTAATGTTAATACTGGGCTTACTTGCTTTAACCAGGCAAGGCTATATTGCTTTGGGGTGGCCCCTGGGGAGTGACATCCCCACCCAGCAAGGTTGCTGGGATCGAGGGTCCAAACAACAGCTGTGGATGGACTCGGGCCCCTGGGCTGAGCAGTGACAGCACTCAGCCCCTTGGAAATGGACATGGGAGGGGGTGGGAGGCACTGGGAGCAGTCAGTCCTGCACAGAGGGGAGAAGTGCACTGCCTTTCCTGAGTACTTGAGGAGGAGAAATCTCTCACGTGGAGGTGGAAAGCCCTCGACGATGGAGCGGAACAGAAAGAGGCCTTGGAGATGATCCAACCCCATCACCTTGGTGTGCTTGTGAGAGCACAGTTTTCCAATTCAGAGGGGGAACTAGCAAGGGACTCAGGTTCTCACTCCGGCAACATTCCTCCCACATCCCAGGGCTCTTCCAACCGGGTCTATATCCATTGATGGGTTAGGAAATCAGTGCAGCGGGTTGTGATCAGCACTCTCACAACATGAAATACAATATAGCAGAGTCCATAACTCGGTGAGGAAGGCGTTGTGATATTCGTTTCAAACACACACACACTCACGTTCACAGACACAGCACATACATTTACATGTGCTTGTGTCCTGGGTTGCAGTGGAGATTTGATTTCTTACTGAGCACCTGGTCAAAAAAGTTCAAAATGACACTATTCTACTCAGCAAAATGTGGCATGGAGTTAGAGGAACAGAGGATGAGAGATCATTTTCGAAGACTATTTTTAAATAAACAAACACAAAGATGCTTAGTAGTTAATTTTGTTACGTGCATTCTCCTTTTTTTAAATGTTATTTTCTTCTGATGATTACATTCAGAATTCTCAAAGAAATTATTAAAGCAGCATTTAGCCGACACCTGAGGATAGCTATTTGCAGTTAAAGATAGTATATTTGAAACTCAGATTTGTGTAAACTTTGATAGCTTAACTCTTCACACTGTTCTCTCTGGTTTGAACAGTTAATAGGAAAACAGCAAATGTCCACTATGTTTAAGAGTATCAGCTTTGCAGTCAAAACGCTTTGGGTTTGAACCCACCTCTGCCACTTACAACTTGTGTACTCTGGGAGGTTACTTAAATGCTCTGGGCTGTGTGGTCCTCAACTATAAAATGGGGATAACAATTTGCAGCTCATGGGATGTTGGGATAATTAAATGAAATAAAATATGCAAAGCACCTACCACAAAATACACACTCAATAATGGTAGGTACACCATTCTTGAGGCTGCTAAGGATTTTGCCACTCCATATGCTGTTTTGCTGTTGTTATTGTCGTTTCTGTATCTATTAATACAAATATTAATATTTCTGTTGACTTCTTTCCTGCCATGGAGGCTTTGTGGATCTTTTAGAAATTCATGCCGTGGGGTAGGAGTGGGTCTCCTAGAAATTCTAACTGTAGGATTGAGTGCATTTAATAGTGTTCTCTTGGACACTCCAATGAATATCTGAGGTCAGACAGTAAGCAAGTACTCAACTTTCTGATGCTTTGCACTGTGATATTCACTGTGCAGGACAAAGACATACAAGGCAAAGTGTGTCCAGCTAAAAATACAGCAACACACAGGGTCTGCTGACTCCTTAGTGGGGCCTCACTCTCAGGTTCCTGGTCTATTTTCAGTCACCACAATCCAGAGTCTGGTCTTCAGTTTTGCAAATCCAGAAACTTGATCTCAACAGTTCACCTAGAGTTCACCAACTTGGGGCACTGACTCACACTCAGCAAACTGACAAGAGAATCATTTACCAACCAGAACGGCACCTCATGAGTCTATATCGGCCATATCCCCGTCACAATAACAGGCATCTGCCT